ACATACGTGACCTGTGTTTGGAAACAGAGTGGACGCCCTCAGAACTGTGCTGGAGTTGTCTCTGGTCCAGGCCCAGATACCGTTCCATGTACAAGAACACAGGCGAAGGACGACACTAAGAATTTTCCGCCACCTTGCCATTCCACGTCCGAGGCATGTTCTCCATCAAAGATACCAACACCGGTTTTGGGTCAGACCGGGACGCACTGCCAGCTGGTGGGAGAACTTCAAGACGGAAATCGTGCTCCATGAGGAATGGCGTGACAATTTCCGTATGTCCTGGTCGTTGGTCCTGTTGTCGGAGTTATTACATCCTCACGTACAACATGAATGTGCTTAAAAACGCACTTATGCGGTTAGGTGTGGATGAACTTTTTTCTAAAAACGAGGTGGTGTGTACGTGAGTGTTTTTCTAGACAGAGGGGGCCGGACATTCGGTTTTAAAAAAACCCTGCTATGTGTGGACAAGGCCTAAGATGCAACTGTTACTGTGCAAATTTACAAATACCCTTCCTTCACTGATGCACCACCATCCACTCACTGCAGCTCAGCACACCAGCTCACCTACAACTCTGCTCAAACTACTCAATGCTAGACAACAGCAAAATTGTAATTTGGCAGTAATTCCGCCATACAAGTCGAAGAAGAACACAAAAGCTCCAACCTGCACATTGACATGCTTAGATATTTATGCGTAAACCCTCCGGAAGCCTGAATTCTTACTTTTTGAGGCCGTCATAGATACACATTGGAGCCATTTCAAGATGGAAATGCTGAGCCTGGATGGACACCGCTTATCTCACTCATGTGTCTCCCAGCATTGAGAAAACAACATATCAAACTTGATTTACGTTTCTTCTTCTTCTTTTTTTTGCTGTTGGTAAGAACATCATGCAAGCGAACATCTAGCTTGGTATGTCCGATACAACAGGTGTATTCCAGTATCCCACTGTACAGTACGCCAGGAAAAGATTTAGCATGTCTCAGTACATAATACGTCAAGTGCAGTACGCCAAAAATACCTGCATGTCCTGCTACATCTGGTCGGATTTGCAAAGCCAGCATGCTTCTATAGCCACAATCCTCTGTACAGTTACATCACATATGTCACAGCACCTGACAAGCTTGAACTAGATGACAGCTCGTTTCACATGAGTAGAATTGAAGGCATCTTGTTACCATGAAAACTGTATGCATGCAGCTTTGTAGGGCAGCGGTAGTACGCAGCTTAAAGAAAAAGAAAAGGTATATGATCTGGAACACTGTCACTGTCACACCAGAGTTCAGCACGAAACCATAGCAGGTTGGATCGCAGTCTATTAGCGAATATATAAAGATTTGGTTATTGTTAGCAGATGACTATGTGACAAAATTATCCACCGCGGGGAGCCGTAATGAGTGGAACAGTGAAAAGTAAGATCTCAACCGTGACAAGGGGGAAAAACTCCTCTAAACCACTTAACACAACGGCTGCTGTGGAGAACACCAGAGGGAGAGGCGTTTATAAGAAGACAATAAACTGTTTCTCATGGGAATTGCAGGGTGGGGAAAGGGTGGGGAGACCGTTCTTGTTTAGCCAAGTTAACCTTGTGAAAAACACCAAGCGTTGCCACATGACAACGCTGACACCTCAGTTCCTACCACGCGGCCGTCCGGCCACCGCAGCGATATCTAAGCATAGATCACATTAGATGTGTCATAAGCGGTGACTTGAAACGGGGTTTTCCAGTGTTTTCACCAACCATAAAAAAAAAACACATCCGCTCACTGCCAAGTCGATTGATAAAGTTCAGCTGCTCGTAAGCACAAATAAAAACAGTTACATAATTTTCTGGTGTGAATTGGCTGATTTTGGTTATCTCAGCGGGGACGTGAACATTTTATTCTGGAGAGGACAGTTTCTTCCTCAGCTCAGAGGATACAATGTCTTCGACTGCTGCCATCGCAATTAAAGAGAAACACTTTCGCTTTCCAGTTTTATTTCGAAGCCAAAGCTCAGTTTATTACATCTGGTGTATATTTCTAAACATTATGAAAATGTTGAGGTCAGCTGGTGTTCCAACTGTCCGAGCTTCATTTTAAACGCAAATGAAGCTTTTCCCCCCACAGCTTTAATTACACGACCGGACCAAATACAAACTACACGCTGACCACATTGTGCTGGTCAAAAAAGGGCGTTCTCTGTCCCCGAGCTCTGCTGTCTCGCTTAACATTTGCTGCAGTTAAAATCATGGGTGCTCATCAGCGACCGCACGGCGTGACCTCATAGCCTCGCATCAAAATATAGGCGGCCGACGCACAACAAAAAAAAAACACAGCTGGGGTTACCATGCAAATACAGAAGGAGCCGACAAACCCCTGCTGATTACGAGGAGGGATTCGGCGCAAGCAAACTGTGACAGTGACTGAAAACCATGACACCATTCGTTAATTTTCATTGCAGCCACCACTTTCAAAAAGCCCACATTTAACAGGGACAACATGTCATTTTGATCTGTGAAGCACACACACACACAAACACTTAACACACCCATGTCACCAAACACCCAACACCACCTAATTCTCATGACAGAATCCTCTCCGCTGGCTTTAAGCTGTGGGTGGTGCAGGCATTACCACACGGCGGTACAGTAGGAGGGGTGTACTGTACAACAAGCTCACGTGCCAACAGATGTTTTTAATGACAGAAAGGCAATTTCGGCCGAGGCCTGAGAAAACGGGAGAAGAATGCGAAAAGGAGCAATGCTGTCATAAGCACAATATCGATGGCGTCCAAGGAAAACAGTTTAAAGATGTGTTTCTATTCTGCTGAATCCAGGTCATTAATAGAGGGTTTTTTGAGCTACCTGACCTTTTTCCTATCATCAAAAATCTTCAGGAAAGAGCCAGAGGCAATGAAAACAAGGCCTTTTCCATCTTGACTCACCGCGTGGCCTCGTGATGAATGATACCGCGCTTCCACAAATACAGATCCTGTGGTTTGTGGCAATCATGACACGGAATTGCGATCAGATTCTTTAAATGCCTTATCAGTTAGTCAGAAGAGTGTAATATGCACCTGCCACAGGAGGGAAAAAAAAGAAGACAAATCACAGATGAAAAATGCTAAAATCCACACGACCGCCGACGTCGAAAAATTACAAAGTATGATTTGTGCAAATATGTATAGATGACAGGCTGCAACACACGGCCAATTGGTTTTACAGTAGACTTCATGTGCCGTAAATCTTGCTGCATGTGTTAATATCTCCAAATGAAAGGGAAAGCCATGTTCCTTTCCTGGAGCTGGCACTCCTCTACCTCCGACAAGTCTGTAATTATACATTCTGATGGAGGGGCAGCATCCCGGCCGGTGCCAGGCCTCGCGGACTGCATCCACCCTCCAGCAACAGACTCATTGTAGCCGGAGAGAAGCTACTACCAAGGTGAACGTGAAGGACATCAATCACAATGTGTCAGGAAAGGACGTCACCAAGTTCTGAAGACACAGATTTAAGCGCTGGCAGATTCTTCATGAGGGAGTGCTCACTGGGGAGAGGTTAATAACTCCCTCTTCCATGTAAAACGTGACAGACGATGGATCCGGCACAGCCAGAAAACAAGAGACGACGGAAAACTTTGAAAATCTAGATCGTGATTTAATATCAGCGAGGGGGGGAAACCCAGTTTCAGAGCAAACTATGATGGTGGTTTTTGTGTGCATTGAATTCTGCCTCTGCAACACGAGCGGGCAAACAAGAAGGTTCCTGAACCGCCGTCCAAATGGTTTCAGTTAGGAACTCAGGCTACTACCGAGAAGAAAGGTAACTGCAAAACAAAGGCATATTTCCTTTTATTACCACCGAAGATTTACGGCCGCTGATGTGAAATGAATGACCGGCTCTGAAAGAGATTTATTATACGGGCAGTTTATTTTTAATATATGCCACAACAGCAAGACAGGAGCGAAGCAGAGTGAGGAAGCAGCTCCTCTCTGGGCCCTACAGGTGATGGGTTCACCAGCGATTCACTGTTTGTTTAATATACTGCATGAAATCATTCAAATGCTGCGAGAGCGGATCGTCTGCGGCCGCTCTGACAGTCGAAGGCTTTGTGTCATTGTTTAATTCACATTTTACATCATTTGAAAAAGGAATGCCTGCATTAGCCATTTCAGCACTAATGGAGAGCAGATGATGGATGGATGATGGGGGATTTCACTTCTCCAAAAACCCTTTTGACCAGGCAAGATGATTAAAGGGTGGGAAGGGAGGCAAAGTAGGCTGCTAAGTAGTACAACCAGCTGTCTAGTATTATCACAGTTCTGTACTGCTGGCCAAAAAGTCCACTCCACATCATGCAGGGAGAGTCTTGCACAGGGTTGTGCTGAGGGGTATAACTCAAGGCAACGGCCACAATTAGTGAGGAGTGACGGCGTTACAGTCACTCACCCTCAGCGCTGGTTTAGCCAAGACAAGCAGTTACCAACTTGTGAAGTTTGGAAGTCTCAAGAAGCAGTTGTGTCATCTTCACCGAATGCTTGTGGTTAGCTCAATCAGTTCTCACTAAGTGGTTTCATTTAGTGAAAACTGACAAATTGTAGGATTTAGTCTGTCTGTCAGGCCGTTGAATCGTTATTCTCTTGATTCATTAGCTTCACTTTATGAACTTCACACTGAAGCGGCCCTTGTGTGTCTCTCTGCAACACTTCATGCCACTATGGCCAATGGTTTTTACTTTATTGATCAATCTGCCTGGGCTGCAAGGTGGCGCAGTTGGTAGCACTGTTGCCTCGCAGCTAGAAGGTGCACCCACCCCAGGATCTTTCTGTATGGAGTCTCCATGTTCTCCCCGTGCAGCGTGGGTTCTCGCCGGGTTCTCCGAATTCCTCCCACACAGTCCAAAAACATGTTGAGGTTAATTGGTGATTCTAAATTGTCCATAGGTGTGAATGTGAGTGTGCTTGGTTGTCTGTCTATAAGTGTAGCCCTGTGATAGACTGGTTACCTGTCCAGGTGAACCTGCCTTCACCCTGAGTCAGCTGGGATAGACCTCCACCCTAGTGAGGATTAGGTGGTGTATAAATAATGGATGGATGGATGGATTAATCTGACTTTTTTTGAAAAAAATAAGTTAATTAATCATCACAATCTCAAGCTAAGATCTTCAAATCTCTTGTTTTGTCTTTGTATTGTGTTCACGTTCTTAGAAAACTACGAAAAGCAGCAAAGATGTACATGTGAGACTGAGAATTAAACAACTAATTGACTAATTGGTTGAGTCAATGTCAAACAGAGTGTTAAAAATCAAATTAAACATATGTTTAGTCAAAACAACGGACATACTGAGAATACTTATCACACACAGTAAATGACTTCAATCCCTCAACTTCAAATGCGAAGCTTCATTTAACAGCCCTCCTCCACATAAAACTAAATGAACGGCTGAAGTGTGAACGTAGAATATTCTGGAAATTATGACATCGCTACATCAAGTGTTGCTCCAGCACCGGGATTCAAGTGCTGCAGTTTTTCCTTGTCTACATCCAGTCCTGATAGCAGTAAAGGGCACCCTGGGTTCGCAAAAAACTTAACTTCAAAAACATAATTTTCCACTGACAGGTTGCGCAAATGATGAGCGTGCCATCTGGAATCGAAAAACGCAGTGAGATATGGTCCTGAGATAACTCACTGAGCTCACGTCTAGGATCGGGACCAAACCCAGGACCAAGGCCTGGAAAATTTTTACAGTTATAAATATCTTTTAAGTTGGTCCTCCGCTGTTTGATGTGGCGCTGATGTACGGATCACACTGGAGACCGAACAGCATTTAAAGGGCGCACATTACCAGCTGGTGCAAACTTAATTCTAAATGTGTTTAAAACATACGTGCAACCCAGGGACTAGAAAACCTGCTGCCTTTTTGATGCAATGATGGTTTTCTAAATGCCCGATTATATAAAAATTTCCCCTTGCTCATATGGAAATACCATAATCCGTTTAATAATACGAGACAACAGCCGAACAAATGTTTTCACATAAGTTTACTAGCAGCAAATAATGCATGAGAGGCTTTACAATACGGTCTTCATATGGAAACGTGGAAAATTGGATGGAAACATGGGGCCAGCTCCAGTTCCACAGAACAGATGCTTACACAATACTATTTTTCCCCCCTCTGACAAACAGAGGTCTGACTTCCTGAGGGTCAATAACAAAAGGTTTTACGAGATGTTTCCATCGCTGCCCTACTGAGCTGACCTTGCAATAAGACTTAATGACCTTGCGAGTTCTGGATGGTGTCTGTAGGAATTACTGGCGCACCGCATAAACCCACGGCTCTCGTAATGAAGACAATACCGCTGTTGGATACGTACCGTAGACGACGCGCTCAGGTTTGTGTCAGAGCTCGTGTAAGAGTGAAAGCCTTCGAAGGGATGGTGAATTCTGGAGTCGATGTCAATCAGCTGCTGCAGGTCGGAGGGCTCGGGGGTGTAGCCCTGGCCCGTTAGCGCCGACACAGCCCACGTGGTCTCCTGGAAGAAAAGCATCATTAGAAGAAGTCACGGCCCGCTGGGTATAAGCCGGCTCTATTTTGTGGCAACCTAAATCGGGGGGGCTAATAAACATCATCTTGCTTACTTAGCAACTTTGCAACAGGGAAGTCTGAAACAGGGAAGAGGTACAAGTCTGACTCCAGCTATTGGTATTCTCCTCTGGACGCATCAAGTGCCAAACACTGACAACTGCCTTTTCCTCAAAGTGACTGCTCATCCCAGCGAGGCTCCCGTCGTATCCTTCGGGGAACAATGGGTGGATGGTGAGCTCATCAGAAGCCCAGTGGTGAGATAAGACCTCGCAACGGGGCTGTCATGCCAGAGAAGATCGTAACTTTACAGAACACACAGCTGTGATCTCTAAACACCAGGATGGGGGTCCTGGAGGATACTGGCAGAAGAAAGCCAGCAAACACATGGGTCTAGGTGGAGCACAACACAAAGCCAACATTTAAAAAAAAAAAACCAAAGACCCACAAATTTTAACGACATTGATTTGTGCTTCATATGTGGATCTATTCTGTTGTTTCAACCGCCGCAGTGATTTACTTGGATGTGGCAGAATATCTCAATCCCAGACTTCAGGCAGGCCTCGGTATGTCCTTTATTTTTTTTTCTCACATGCACATTTTCCAACCCTTGCATGACAGAATGTGAGTTTTTCGACAGACACAACGTAAAAATGTCAAGCGTGGAATGATTTAATCCTGCCATCGCTTTCTAGGGGGACGCGGGAAATCGTAGACGAAACATTAGGCACGACTTTCGAGAAGAGTTTCACTTTTATAGGTCAAAAAGAATTCCTCTGAATCCTTCCCACCGACGGCTAAGTCAGGGCAGCTAATTTGGTGTTTCTTAGAATGTGTGCAAAGAAACACAAAGAAAAAAACACACCCAACTATTACTGGATTTATTCATTTTGGAACATTATTTTTTTATTCATTTTGGCTGAAAGTGAAAAAAAAGAAATGGCCAAATGTGCTAAAGTTGCATAAGTTACATAAAATCCAGCTTCCAGCGAGCTGAGCAGGACCAGAGGATGAACACATACAACACCTTCAGAACCGCTGTTCTGGTGACCTGTTAGCTTTAGAGTTGGCTGACAATGTTTTTTAATTAGTCTACAGTTATACTCTTGACTGTCTGTCTTTAACATGTTTAACCTCTCAGGTCTTCTGGTGGTGTTGGCTGGACTGACTTTACAGAAGTTACAGGCCGATTTACCTCCATTTAACCTCCTCCCAACACCTGGAGGAGAGATCTGGTCCTGGGTCTGATAGGATGTTCAGCCCAGATAATTTGGTAATCATCTATAGATCTGGTCTTAAACCTCCTGAACTCATTTCAGACTCTTTGGGACGCCGCAATAAACTCATTTTCTCACCTTGGTAGTCTGTTAGTTATCTCGTTATCTTCAACTTTACTGTCATTTCCTATTCTTTATTTAATTACAGTTCTTTTCATTTCATACCCATTTATTTCTAATGAAATTCATGCTCTTTTTAACTCTTTTTATGTCCAGCACTTGGAGTTCCATTTAATGCCTGAATGTTGTATAAATAAAGTTTAACTGATTGAAGAAGGTGGTGGAAGTTGAGCATAAATCATCGTCTTGTGGCTCTAGCTTCAAATTTAATGTGAAATTGGTTTTAATCTTTTCATCTGATTCTCTGCAGCCAATAACAGCTATGCTTCATGCTAAGCTAAGCTAAGCTAATTGGCTCTTAAACAGGATTTTAGTTGAACCAGTGAATCTTTTCTTGTTAGCTCAATACGACACACAGAAATGTCAGAATTTCAAGTTAATTCTACCTAAAATAATTTGTTTTCAGGTAATCTCATAACCTAAAAACATTTTGATTGATTTGAAGTCTTGACTTACTTCATTTTCTATATTAAGTATAATCTTCAGTCCTTGTATGTTTGATTTAAAACAAACTAACTGGAAGCAGCTTCACATGTTGTCTTAGATATCTACAATAAAAGTTCTTCATATCAAATTAAGAACCGACTCCTTAAATTGAGAAAATTTAAAATGTCTGTCTGCAATTATTGTCTGAGAGACGGAACAGTTGACTCAGTTTAACATCATAAGTTGACTGACCTTGCTAACTCAACTAGTTTTATATTTTAAAACTCATTACATGATTGTCCGACCCATTTCAGTCAACTTAACTACACTTATAATGGTGAACAGTGTGGATGCAGCATGTTATACTGTATATGTAACTGTCATCGGTAACGTGAATGCATTTCAGGCGAATACTTTCAAATCTGTCTCAGATTTAATCTAAGGATTTAATCTCAGGAGTTTATTTCCCATGAAAACAATCCCTTCCAATCTTAAAATGGCTCAGATGTCACTTTACACCATCGCCTGCTCTAGAATGTGCAGATCTATGAAGCCCTCGTCTCTGTCTCCACCCACCCCACCCTGACAACACCGGCTCTTTAGGTTTGTAAAGTATGACATTTTGGCTGCCTGAATCGGTGCTTTTTGTAACTCCTATCAGTACACTGTAATTTCAAGGGGGAAACACGCAGCCATCGATGTCGACTGCTTATTTCGCTCATGTGTCCTCCAGAATATAAAAAAACAACATAAGGACATGTTGACAAGGTGAAAAAAAAAACTGGATCGGCACCAGAGGGGGTCTTAAATAAGAACTGGACAGTCAGTTCTTCATCCTAAAATGAAAGAGAACTGAGTTTATTTCAGGCAGTATCAACCCGACACCACGGGATGAAAGTCCTCCACTGCAGGCCCGAACTGTTCTGCGATTACTGACCGGTTCTGATTTACTGCGTCTGGTTACCGCAGCTACACAGAACTGTGGAGCTTGTTAGGATGCGAGTCAGTAACATCGCAAAAAAAAAAAGTGTGTGAGATAAACAGCAGCGTTGGGTTGAGGTTGATGCGTCTCAAGGGATTCTGCCAAGAACTGGGTGAAGTGCTCAGAACTGAAGACGCGTCACTGCCAAAATCCTGGTGACATAAATCATGTGCATGCTCCGTTATGGCCATTCATAATAGCACGCCTCGCAATAACAGGAAGTCTCCATCCAGCCAGTAAAGAACCCCAGAGCATCTGCACTCCCCTCGGTTTGGTATCTGCCGCCACAATTACTGCAGTATTGTTCTAAAAGTCAAGGCAAACATCATAAATAGAGCAGCGAGACGTAAAAAAAAAACAACCTGGCAAGCTGTCCTACGGATGCAGAGCTGTCGGGGTCAAGCTAAATGGAACCGCATGTTAAAGGTAAGTATGTTTTTTTCCCCCCCTGCTTCCCAACAGGCTTCAACCCATGTGCCTTCAAAACCTGCCGCACAGCTGCCAAAGGGGTTATTTAGGCAAATTAAAAGTGGAAATAAAAACATGTGAAGTTGGGACGGCGTAGGTGAAACGCCGGAGCGCTCCAGGTGGCAGCGTCTCAGATGAATCCTCAGAGGAAAACAAAAGCTCTCATTCTCTTCGCTTTAAGCTCTGTCAGCGCCGTCTCACTGTGCAGCTGGAGCTAATAGTGGGACTTTTCTTTTTTTTTTTTTTGAAAGATTCCAGCTTCTGAATTTTGCTGAAACACAGCAGAGGGAATTGTTGAGAAAACGTGATTATAAAATTAATCCATAACATGCGGCATCCCACGTGAACCTCATATGGCGTTTGACATCTGGTTCATAATCTGAGCTGCTTTGAGGAGTCAGAATCTTCTGGCCCGAGGCTCTCGGCTGCCAAGCAGCCATCAAAACAGGCCTATATGAGCGACCTACGTGCTGTTCTGAGGGTCAAAGTTTGGCTCAACAAAAATAAAAATATAATTCGGGCCAAATGTTAGACAAATTTCCACAAATAATATTTTGAAAGCAGCAATTCATGAATGTAGAGATTAAAGTGTTGTGTGACTAAACAGTGGAAACAATCTTTATGATAAAACCTCCGTACATGTGATGAATGCAGTGAGCAGAAAAGACGTTGGTAGCAGCAGGCCCCTCCATGAGACCTCGAGACATGAGGGGGAAGTATTAAGGAACTTGAAAAAGAGACGCTCATCCTCCAGCATGTGTTGCCTGTTAGGGCTTCATGTCAGCCTACCTCGCTGTCTGCGCCTCTGGCACTGTCCTCTTCCTCTTCGTCTATTTCTCGGAGCAGCTCAGCCAGACGCTCTTTCTCCGCCTGGGTCAAAAACACTTGGCCCCCCTCACCGTGCACGAGCTATTCCATTACAGAACATTTGGAAAAAAAGACATTAAAAGTCATTACTATGCAAGTGCATGGCATTTTCTTTACGGTGATGCTCTATTAGGCTTAAAATATGTCTTTTTCTTTTTAAACTACAGACAAATATTTTCCCGACTGGAAAAACAAACAGCTGAGAGACTCGCTCCAAGTCATGCGATACATCCCAGCACTGCGTTCGGCCCGACGTGAACTTTGACATACCTCAATGTTTCTTTTGACAAAGTCCTTCTGTTTATTCATGCCTTTGGAAGCTCCACAGTGGCTGCCTTCAAATTGGTCTTCTGCTTTGTCTTTGTAGCCAACTTCAGATGAGTCTGTCAAGCTGTCTGGCTTCTTTTCACCTGTCAGGTAAAGGTACACATTATACGGCTGAAGGCAAATATTGAAAAAGTAAGTCAAAGCTCTAATAATAACCATCCCATCAGACAACATATGATAAAATGTGGTTTGTGGAGTCACTTGGCAAATATGGATTCTTGTTCTATCACATGGACCACGTGATGCAGCTGCACAAATAACAAGGGCTGAAATGTAAAGAGTTCATAAGGAAATATCCGATAGAACAACATGACGATGCTTTAAATTAACTTTAAGAGATTCAGTTCTCCATTGATAGCAAGTGGAGCATTTCTCACTGTTTCTGGGATGTTGGAGAAAATAAGAGGTTTTTTTTTTCTTCCTTGGGGGATCAATATCATAAAAAGCCACAAGATTCTGATCAGGAAATTGTTCGTGAGTCACATACTTGGCAAACTGTTCCGCATTCACTTCTGGAAAACTGCTGTAATAACTCATTTGCTGCACTACTGTCTGCAGCTGCTTACAATGAAGCGAAAACCAGATCGGCTCTGTTGCCTGAGCTTATGGCGCCATCAAGTGGACAAAGCAGGTAGCAGAACAGAACACAAAGCTGCTGTTAGGTTTGGTCAGGGGTGCCCAATCCAGGTCCTCGAGAGCCCCTACCCAGCATGTTTTAGATCAGGGGTGTCCCATCCTGGTCCTAGAGGGCCGCAATCCTGCAAGTTTTAGATGTTTCTCTCTTCCAACACACCTGATTCACATGATCAGGATCGTTATCAGGCTTCTGCAGAGCTTGATGATGACCTGATCATTTGAATCAGGTGTGATGGAAGAGGGAAACATCTAAAACATGCAGGATTGTGGCCCTCGAGGACCAGGATTGCCCACCCCTGGGTTAGGCCATACATGTCCACAAGCTCACTTTGCTCTGAGCGCTGGTCGTCTCTGCCGTGCTCCCAGTCGCAAACCTGAGTTTCAAACACAGGTACAAAGTCGTCCTCTTCTTCTGTCCCTTTACGATAAAATAAACAAAAAAACATTAATAATTTTCAGCATCTCACAGTGAGCACACATGAACTGTTATTGTGTGTTATACTCACCGGTGGGTGCTTCCAATGCCAAAAACAACTTTGTGTTCAAAGCTTCATGAGCACCTTCAGAGTGACCTTCAGGTTTATTCTGCTGCAGAGAAACACACACAATAACACCACAAGTGACGACAGTGAACAGATTTTACTCATTCTAGTCCTCAGACAGTTCAGGGAATTTAGAGTTTCTCTGAAGGTCCTGAAGACTTTTTACTCTGGAGTAGGTGAAAAGCACTCTGGGAACATGACCCAGTGGTCCAAGAACAGCACTGCTGGGTGTCCCGGTAGTTCAACAGGTGGAGCTACAGCGGCTTTAGTCCCAGACGCAGCGGTCAGGGGCTTGAATCCAGCCCATGGCCATTTGCTGCAGGTCCTTCCCTACTTTCCTGCCCTCCTCTCTCCACCTACCTGTCTAGTGAAGCTAAAAGACCAAAAGAATATAAAGAACAGCACTGCCTCCATGACATCTACACAAGGATGGTAATAGCAAACAGCATCATGGGAGACCCCCACCAACCCAGCAAAGGACTGTCTGAAGGGCGACACTCTGGCCATCACCTGAGCAACATCAAGGTGAACACACAGAGACTCAGGAGGAGCTTCTTCGATCATGCTGTCAGGACTGTGAACTCTGAACTGAGGTCAATCATAGCACCTCATCTCAAAGAGCAACAGCACACTGGCACAATGTAAATATCACATATAGATGTATACACACACACATGTTCTTATACATAAATAAACACACATGACTGCACCTCTGGCACAATGCACTTTCATTTCACCATGTCTTTGCTCCTCATTATTTACAACCATTTGCTTTCTTCTCTTTTTAAAGATTTTTTTTGCTTGTTTTTATCATGTCTTGTTTCTGTTGCTCGGTCTTGTGGAACAGTCTCTTTGCATTTCACTGCCCATATAGTGGAGACATGTGACTAACAACAGCTCTTGAATCAGTTTAGTGAACAGAATGGATACAGAGACTGCGTCTACCTGGAGCTCTTGCCAGAGTTTTGCTTGAAGCTCTTTCCTCTGACGTTGGATTTCTTTCTCTCTGCAGATTTTTGCAGACAGTATTTCATCCAGCCGTCTCATTTCCCAGATAGCTCTCTGTAGTTTGGAATCTTCATCCTCATCCTCAGTAGCAACAGTGTGACAGTCATCTGGAAGAGGCAAAGTTGTTTTATTACAGAGTGGAGTGACTTCAGGGAAACTGGACAACTGTACTACTCCATTGTATTTGATATTGAACACTTACCTTTGTCAGGATCTCCCACTGATGAGTTAGATGTTGTAGATTCTTTAGAGCTGCTGTGAATCTACAAAAAAAATCTGACATTATACAATTTTGATGCCACGAGTTTTTACAATGCTGATGTATTGCTTACTTACCTGAAGATCAGCAGCATCGGCGTTGGACAAAACAAGAAGGGAAAGTGGAGCTGTCGGACAGATTCTGTCTCTATGAGGTAATGACACACTGGACACGCGGCTACCTGTCGGCTCACTCGACGCAGGACGGGATATGTCGTCCAAACTCCCTCTGGTGATTTCCATGTTTCAAAACTAAAGCAACAACAACGTATTCGCAGTCTTTACTTGTCAACACAAGCGGACTTTATTCCGCCAAATGTTTCGTAACTATGGACGCAAACACTCCCGGAAGTTGTAACTATGGGCATCTGTTACTATGACTACCGAACGAAATCGAGGGAGCTCAGCTGACGCTTCAATCAATGCAGCTAGCTAGCGTAGCGGGTCAAGCTAGGAGCTAGCTAGCGGTTAGCTGCGGTAGTCCCGCTCGGCTCGTTAAATCGTATTTTTGTGGCATCTGCAGCATCGTAAATGCCTTCGCCGAAGCTGAGACGTTGTCAATAAATGTCTGCAGTGTGACGCAGGGACGGTGGAGGTTTCGAGGCCGTGTTTTTGTGGTAGGTAACGTAAAGCAACGAGCCGTTTTGACGTTTAGCTAGCGTTAGCAAGCTAAGAAGGCTAATATTGATTACACTGGTACCCAGCGAAGCCTAACAATGAAAAGCAGTAATGGTATGCTCTGTTGCATATGCAGTTTCTAATATGTGATAGCACAGATACTAACCACGTAGCACCAGCATTGTGAACTCGGTTTGTAAATATTGGTGTCTTTTGTTTGGGCCTTGTGCTCTGTAACGCTATCAAAATGAGCTATCATAGCTAATAAGGAACCTCTGAAAATGGGTGTGTAGCAGCTGAGACGGAACCATTCAGTACCAGAGTTTAATATTATATGACGGGATTGTAATTTTCCAAAGCCAGTGCTTCGCTAAAACTGACAAATAACGAGACAATAGTGAGGGATTGATGTTGTGTTGTTTTCACCACTATCTGGCCAAATGCTCATACCGTTATCACCAGGCTTTTCCTCTCGGTCCTGTCATTGTAGCACCGTCCCACAATCACACCCATTTCACTGGCAGCTGTCCAAGCTCTGCAGTGTACCTGCGCCAGCCAGGTGTCAGCACACGGAGGCTATGGAGGACCGCCGCTTCATCCATGTGCTTTTATACAATTCTAACTGTTCGTTTTCCGATCGTACCAGGTTGAGTTGACTCTGAAGGGGAAGATGTGCAATGGAATGATAGAGTCAACATCAAAAGCCTCTCGGGCCCACACCTCAGCCACTGAACGGTCCTTCTTGTTGCTGGTGGTACTGACTGTAGTTTCCACTGGGCAAGGGTCAGGTAAGAGACACAATCTACAGTTATATATTAAACTAGTGGTGGATTGAAAAAAAATCTAATTAATTAGAGGCTTTATATTATTATTATTTTTAATCAAATGGCAATGTTTGACACAATAAGCAAAGTATTTTCAAGCCAAATAAATGTTGGTTGACAGCTGAATCAGTGGCACATATAGGATATTTTTGTCACATATACGTACACTTAAACACTTTTTTCCTCTATATTTATTCCTTCCCTTTTTATATCTGTCTACTACATTCACAGATGCAAACTCAAAGTGCAATTATAGACATTATAATCAACATTTTAAGACTTTTTGTCGTTATACTCTTTGTTGCACACAAACATGCTCTTATCCAAGCTGCAATCAGAAAATAAATTTTTAAAAAAAACTTTCCCTTCAACAAGCCAACAATTTCTGCAATTAATTAATCGAAATTAACGTGTTAAACTCTCAGCCCTAATATTACCACAACACAAAGATTTGTGGGTGATGCCTGAATTATACCGTTCTTTTCTCTGAGGAAACTCTACCAAACCAGCTTTGTCAACACACAGACCACATGATTGAATGTCATGGAGTCTTGAGACCAAAAGGATGTTGTAGCTTTTTCTACTGCACAGTGGAGACGTATTAATATTATAATCAGCTGCCTTTCAACACTGATTTTAACAAATGAAGGATTATCCCAGCAGATTTATTAACAGTAATAGCCCACACCCGATATAGCAGCCCTGTAGGTAGCTGCCATGATAATGATGACAAAATACAAATTCAGCCAGTGCCACTGACATATTATTTGTTCGTATAGTTTACATATTCAACTATGTAGTTGGGGAAAACATCAAGGGTTTTATTCACCCTGTTTGAACGTGTGGGACATTTTTACAGCAAGGTCCTAAATCGGAAAACTATCTTGCTATATAAAAAATGTCTTCCAGAGTAGACCGAACAAATCATCCCCCTGACTAATTTGTAATCAGACCATATTGCAGCCAAACAGACAATAAACAATTAACCTGCAGTGCTTTCATTTGTAGTGACGTTAAACTTGTTTTTCTGTAGACAGGTCACCGTACTAAAGGGAACGCCAGGTATCTGATTTGCTGTATTAGTGTCTGCAGTGTTACTCCCCTGACTGAGTAGATCAGACATCGGCCATGGCAAGGTTTCACAAATATAATTAACTGATTTTCCATGGAATTGCCTTGAAATTTGTCTCTAAAGTATTAAACTGTGACCCGTTGGCCTTTCCTGACACACCACACACACACACACACACAGTATGACGGTATTTACTGGAGAACTGCCGTGACATTAAAATGTTATCAGCTGAAAAAGTTTGTTGGTCCCATGACCCTTTTTGTACTGCTTTAACGAGCTGCTACCCCAGCAGTAGGACCATAATAATTCTGCTGTAGGCACTGTTCAATGAAAATAGATTTAAAAACATTGATATAAAACAGCATTTAACATTGGCTGAGTTTTCTCCTAAGTGGGTTTTTTGGAATGCAGATGACAAATGAGGTATACAAGTGTAATTTAAATAGTTTGTTCTGTAGCCTTTAGTTTCCTCGTGTGTATTATGTGTTGTGTGTGCATTTCATTAATCCTGTTAATATGTACTGATCAGCCTGAATCTGATTTGTCAAGCTGATAAACACTCAAAGTGGGTTTGTGGTGCCAGTGAGAACTCCTCGTACGGTGGTTCATGCTGTTTTGCTCATGTTGTGGAAGTCGACAGAGCTCGAGTCTCTGTTCCTTCATTTGACTCCACTTACAGCCAGACTCACTCACAGATCGAAGCTTTTTATACAACATCCGCTTTCCCACGACCCGGAAAACCTTACCCCTGTTTCCTTCAAAACAATAGGGCCCTTTGTGTGTGAGACCTGCAGAACTCGTGTACACCACAATGTTTTGAATAACTGCATATAGAATGGGATACTGAATGTGTGAACAACATTTTTCTTTTTTAATATTGTCTGTAGATATTGTGATGAATAATACTTCTCTGGCTGTCCTAACCAATTGTTAATGTTATAATGTCTTCTTTATGGGACGTCACTGCAGTGCCTTTTTAGTACACATACTTACCATACCTCATTCTGTGTCTGTATTAGTGACGTCTTCGGCTCAAATATCTGTTGTTTTAAAAATTCTACTAAAATACTGAGCAGTTTGACTCATTTTTATTTTCCTTTGGTCGTCTTCTTAGGATGTGTGAGGCCATACATGGTCCAGAACAGCTGGGTAAACCTGACAGAAACCAACAGGGGCTCCTTCCCCGTGGGTACAGTACTGCAGTACAGCTGTGACCCGGGTTACCTGCCAGATGGACCCGACATCCTCACCTGCACCGCACTGGGACGATGGACCTCTGACCCTCCACACTGTATACGCAGTGGAGGTACGATGCTCTGTCCACCACTCTCTCTCTCTTTATTGATCTGTTTTGTAATGAGCAGTTGTTTCTGTTGTAAGCAGCGAGCCAAACATTGTTTCTCATAAGTAAAAACATCTTTAGGTATTTTCAAGTTTAAATAATGTGGCACCAAAGTTTCTCATCATTGTTAGCCAGTTGTGCTCATACAGAGTTGATGCTTAATATGTTGTGTTTTTGTTCCCCATCAGCTTGTCTACCCTTTTCCAAACTCGACAATGGAGGCTACACCTGCCACCCGTCCCCCTGTCGAATGTTTTCCCATGGCACTGTGATTGAATTATTCTGTAACGAGGGCTTTGTTCTCAGTGAAGACTACAATTACCTGACCTGTCAGGACGGACAGTGGGATGGCCCGATGCATATCAACTGTGTAAGCCAAGGTTGGTCAGTCCTCCGATTCACATATGTTAGGAGGTTAATGTGTCGTCTTAAACGTGCACTTTTTAGCAAAATAATGCCAGAAAATGTTGGAGGGAGAGTCTTATCACTGTCTGCAGGTTTAGCTGTGGAGCATCTTCATTTAATTTAAGACAAATTTTCACACTATTTTATTTGTTATGCTTTGCTTTAACTCTAGTTTCTTCTGTTAAATTATTATGCATTTACCAGTAAAGCATTTGGTATTACTGTTGTAAAAGGTATATATATATATTGTATATAAACGAAATCTTAGGACTAATATGAACTGCTTTATTGCCATTTCCCCCTTTTAAAGGTTGCATTAGACCCTCCATGGTGCAGCATGGCTCAACTAATCTGACAGACACCAACAGGAGCATGTTCCCAGTCGGCACAGTGCTGCAGTACAGCTGTGACCCTGGTTACCTGCCCGCCGGACGCAGCATCCTCACCTGCACCGCACTGGGAGACTGGTCCTCTGAACCTCCTCGCTGTATACGCAGTGACGGTAAAGACAAACCTTCTCACGTCGTTCCCTAATTCTGCCTTTAGGCAAGACCAGGACACAAACTAAATGATTCATAACTTAAAGTTTACAATTCAAAATAGTAAAAGGGCAGACAAGAGAATCGTGGATCAAACAATTATCCTAAACAGAGTGAGAAATATTTTGTTCTCATCTTGGATTTAAAAGCAGTTAGAGTTCAGGCTATTCGAACGTCCACTGTGGGGTTAGTTCAGGTCTGTGCTGCGTGTTAACAAAATGCTGCTTCTCAATGTTTGGTCCAAGCTCTTGGAATGCCCAGTGGGACAGCTCCAGATGTCCTCAGGGTCTGAGAGGTTTAATATGTCACACCCATGTAAGAGATGTATTTTTGAGCTGAGCCACATATTGATTTATTTACAAATAGTAAGATTTTAAACATCAATTCTCTGATGGACAGGTAACCAGTGTAGGGATTTTAGAAATTGTGTTATGTTGTCCTAT